AAATCCACTATCTACTTTATTGTTGTGCTTTGCAGCTTTTTTTTCTTGCATTTGTTTTTTTTGTGTTTGCAACATTTCTAACTTGCAGTCAATTTTATGATAGTTTTATTTTTTATTTTAGTGTCATACACTACAAGTGCCCCGCCCACACGGGCTTACATTTATGAATGCAACATGCAGCATTTATAATTTAGCTTTGTTTTTTATTCATTTGCAGAGCGTTGACTGTTTGCTGCACATTTGCAGCTGTCGGCCTCTGTAATACACAGCGGTCTTTCTCACACATGCACAGTGAGACGTGTGATCGATCTTTTCAGTGTTCCATGCATAATGTCTGGCAATTTAAAAAAGTACTAGTAAAATGACAAATAGGGGTGCACCGATAGATCGGCCCGATTCCCTTAATTTTAGGCGATCTGAGATCGGCAGATTTTTACATGAGAAAAAAAAATTTCTGCTGATTTTATCTACTTTCACAAAGTTCCAAAAATCAGCTGCTTGTCCCCTTTTCCTCTGCTGTGTGTGCTGCTGTGAGAGAGGCTGACAGACCCGCCCACCAAGTCACGTCGTCTGCACATGTGTTGTTACAGTTCACTCAGAGCAGGCGTTATGTCGCTGGTCTGACAGTATTATACTGTTAAAGAAAACGACCAAAAGGTAGCTATTTGCAATATATGTAAGACTGAAGTTTGTCGTGGTGGAGACAAAATCACATCCTTCAATACTACTAACCTCGTTCGCCATTTAAGGAACCACCACGCCGCTGAGTATGCAGCGTTTGAAGAACGCAATCAAGCTAAGGCTAAAGCTAAAGCTAGCAGAAGCACAGAGTGAGCAGGCCCGATGTTAGCTCTTCTGAGCAGTGAAAAGAGCAAAGCCACAAATAAATAGCCACAAAACTGCTGCATTAGAGCATCTTTTGCACTACAAGGAAACCCAAAACTCAAAACACTTCATTGGTWGTTTAGGTTGGCTTGTTTGTCCTTAATTGACCTCAAACCTTGTAATTTTGTAAAAGCAAAATACTGCTGCAGACGTTTGGTAACGGGCTTTAAAATAGGTCTGTAGTCCAACCTGTTTTAAGTTTTGTTTTTTTTTTTTAAATAAGAAAAATCAAATAGTAATTGAACTCAATTTTGTTTAGTTAAGTAGTTCAAACAGCAACGCTAAACTTTTCCTTTATGTTTCACAGCACTACCTCAGTTAAAGCAAGTTTGTATTGTTTCAAGGGTATTTTTCAATATTTTTCAATAAAATAAGATTGGAACATTGTAGACGTATTGTGACCTTATAACACCTGAATGTGTTGGTTGTAAATCGGTATCGGACAAAATCGGAATCGGCAGGTCAGACTTTTTAAAGATCGGAAATCGGAGATCGGCAAGAAAACTGCAATCGGTGCACCCCTAAAACAAACAATGTTCCATCCATATTAAAGTTTTAGAAGCTGCTGCTGTGTCATGTTTTGTCATTTTACCCGTCACATCGGGCTGTTCACCCTGAGCCAGTCTGGCCAGTTTCTCGCTCACTCCTTTGTGCAGGGACCCCGGTATCTGAAACAGGAAGTAGAAAAAAATACTTTCACGCTTTGATTGCTGAATTACACCAGAAACAAACTGTCGTTTTAAATGTTTCACTTTCGTCTGTATGTTAAATAAACTTAAGAGGAAATAATCATAGGATGTATAACGGATTCACTTTTGGAGTCAACTGAATTCAAGATGCAAACTGACCCAAAAATGGCTATAAGTATAATTCAGTCCATTTTATAGATGATGGGGCGAAGTTTTCCGTTTTTGTAGCCAAGAGTTATTTAAAATTTTAAGCTTTAACTCCAAACTGGTGGTCCTGTCAGTTTAAAGAGTGACTGGGTTATTTGAGGATAGTGCTGAACGATTTTGGAAAATAATCTAATTTCAAGTTTTTTATCTATAAATTGTGATTTAATATGCGATTTTTTTAACATCTTCAAGTATTTTTCAACAAACAGATGCAGTAAATCAGTCTGTTTTATAATAAAGTAAGATTTATTTAAAGCACAGATTACAATAAAGCAAACAAATCTGTGGCTTTACCTTTTCCTTTTCACCATTTCTAATTTTTCTTGTTTCATGATAAACATGTTAAGTTTAATTAATTATTAATTAATTTAATTAATTAAAAAGTTAAGTTTTCCTAAACACCTTCTGAACTTCATCTATAAATAAATAGAAAAACATAAATAGAAAAAATAAAGCTTACTGCTTTCCATCCAGTAACATCATGAAAAAAATAAAGTGCAAAAAACAAAGAAAATAACAACTCGTTATTTTCTAAAATAATCAAACTCAAGTCACTAGATTACATCATCACCTAATAGGTTTGCTAATTGTGATCTGAGCTATAGGAGAGATGTTAAAGAGAAAAAAAGTGAAGAAAAACACTAAATATGTTTAAAACTGCAATTAACCCCACACCCCCACACAACCTGCCCAGGACTCCTGTGGGCTCTCAGGTGAAACCTAACTGTCTGCTGAGCTGTCAACATCAGTTCTCACTCTGTGGAGCTCTTTTCAGATTAAAAATACATTTGAGGAAATGTATTTTCAGATGCCAAGTAAACTGCATCATAGCAGCCCCCCCCCCCCCACCCACACCCCAGAAGTGGAGGTGGTTCTTAAAGAGACAGAGGCCAATTTCAAGGTGTTTAGAAGAGGAAGTGATGAGAAGATAAGTTTATTTTCTATTTAAACATAAAAACAGCATTTTAATAACAGCTAAAGGTGACATAGATACTTTATTATGGTATAGTATTTAAATATATGCCTGAGAAACACATAATTTTGGCCCTTTAACATATCGCGAGATTATCGCAAATGCCATTAATCGTTCAGTCCTATTTGAGGTGGTAAAAAAATAATTTCTGGAAGTTACCTTAAAGATTTCCTTTACGTTGCTCAGCATAAAGACCAACAGAAGATCCTCTTTTTCCTTTGAGAGCGTCTTGCTGTCCAGTATCGCCCTGGCGAACGACTTCTTCACCGCCAGTCTGTTCTCCACCTGCAAACGCCACGCGATCCTAACGAGGCTGAACGAAATCAGACTTCCCAGGTGAGGTTTTGCCAGCAGCTCTCACCTCCTTGTCAACCTTTACTCCTTGTGGACTGGCTGCCAGGGACATGAAGGTGAGCAGCTGGTGCAGTTCTTCTCTGCTGCTCTGAGGAAGCAGCTTCAGACACAGCTGCAGAGCCTCCAGAGCCTTGCCCATCTCGGCGCTCACTGTAAAACAAAAACACAGATGTAACAGAGGGGGAACAGTTTGTTAGAACCGCAGGCGGTTCCTCCGTACCCAGCAGGTCAGTTATGGCCGTGTAGATGTCTGCCATGGGCTGAGGCAGCAGAGGGGGCCGGCTTGTGTTGCCGTAGTGCTTCACCAGCGCCTCGTATAGCAGCAGCTTACACTGGACCGAGTCGCTCTGAGACGGACTCGTCTGCTCCTCACTGCTGGGACCTGCAGCCGACAGAGGGAGGAGGTGGTCCTGGTTGTTAAAACAGCACCTCGGTTCCACTTTTCTAACCGGAGGACTCACCTCGCTGTTGGACGCTGCCGCCGGCTGGTTCACCATCGCAGCTCTCACAATGAGGCAGCTCTCGGCTCAGCTCCACCACCGGCTGGTCGGGCAGGAAGTCCAAACAGTCCAGGGCTGCGCAGAGCCACTCGTCTTCCCTGAGAGGAGAACAGTTTAGCTTTAATTCAAGGTGAGAATTCACCCTGAAGTCACCTCCGCAGCTGAAGTAGTGAGTAAAGTCTGAACGTGCTGGGAGTTCCTGAAGGCCCTGAGGATCTGTCGGTCCAGGTGGTTGCTGCTGTAGATCAGGTCGGGGTTACCCCGCGCCACCAGGTTCTCAGCGGGTGGAGATGATGTGCACTGCAGCACTCCTTCCAGCAGGGGGAGCTCTATCAGGTTTAACAGCCTGAGCAAAGTCTGCTCCTGCCACACCTCATTCACCACTGGAAACAAAAAAATAAAAAAATAAAACACAGATTAATTAAAATGCACTGATGGTGGAGATGTAAAATAGAAGCCCGTGGCCTTTTAGGAGCTGCTTCACGTTCATTTACAAACTTCTCCGGAGCAGGCTGAAGTTCTTCCCAAACAGAACTACACTCACCGGCCACTTTATTAGGTACACCTCGCTAGTAACGGGTTGGACCCACTTTTGCCTTCAGAACTGCCTCACTTCTTCGTGGCATAGATTCAACAAGGTGCTGGAAGCATTCCTCAGAGATTTTGGTCCATATTGACATGATGGCATCACACA